GCAGGGCTGCCGCTGTTGGAGCTCAACAGGATGGTGACAGGTAGCCTACCCCAAGGGTCAAGTCTAGCCTTGATAACCACATAGACATGAAGGCGAAGCTGTGCCTCTCCATGGCGGACACATACCAGGCCCAGTCCCTCCAGAGCCTCCTACCTTTGCACCCAGATCCAAAGCAAGGCCCCTCCCATCTATTTCCCAAGGAGGGATAGAGTGCAATAAACCCTCAAGCAACCCCAGGAGGTAACCAACCCCTGGACTGAAGTGAGGCAGGGGGTGTAACCTGCCTGAAGTTCAGGCAGGTTTCCCTGGGAGCTCTCAGGGAAAGGGAGTTCAGCCTTTCCCTGGGAGCAATAGAGGATTTTCTTGTCCAGAAGGATCCTTGGAATATAATGTACCACCCTTCCCCTGACCACCATCTCATATCCTTGCCCTTTTTTATGGCCCAATCTATGGACCAGAAGAGGAGAGGGGCTCTAGAGTCCTCCATCCATAACCCAGAGCCAGGCCTGGAGAGAAGAATGTAACAAGGGTCAATGCTTGTTCAGAACCTACTATGTCAGGCACTAAAGTAACACAGCAGCAGGGGATGCAAAAAAGGGAAAAGACACAGTCTCTGTCCTTGAGGAATGATGTGTAAAAAGTTGAGATGAGTAGATAAAGTTGTTAATAGTAAAGAAAAGCAGAGCATGAAAAGTCCTCAATAAGAGACACAGTCCCTAGGTCCAGAGACTGCGGGAGGCCAAGGCTTTTGTGTTGCTGAGGGAACATGGCGAGGAAAAGGCTGGAACCCACAGGGTTGAGAGGGAGAAGGCTGGAAAAAAGAGCTAATGTGTGGCAGCTCCAGCAGAGAGAAAAGTTGGAAAACATAGAGATGCTTACATAGGACTTCGGGGAAAGTTTGTTCTATAGACACTATGCAACACTCTCCTCAACTTCCCACAAAACCTTTATAAAACCTACAATGGACAGTCGTAGGTGGTTTTTTTTTTTTTTGGAGGTGAATTGATGTTGGGGGCAGCTAACAGATTGAGGTTGGCTCAGGGGGCCAGAGCTAGGGTAGGTTGAGGGGGTTCGGACACTCCAGGGTTATAGCAGGACCTACGGGTTGAATTCCCAGAAGGGGAGGGACTGGAGGCTTGGTCAGCAGGGAAGTGGGTGTCTTGCTAGGCCTGGAAGGATGGTGAGGAGAGAGCGGGGAAAGCTTGGAGGGTAGGGAGACTCTTATAAGAAAACATTATAAGATGATATGAAACTGTAATAAAGCCTCATGCCCAGACAAGTAAAAAAATATATCGGGGTGGGGGAGGGGAGGAGGCATAGCACAGAAGTCACTAATTCCAATCTCTTCCCACCTTTGTATCATGAATTTCACCTGCCTCACAAAAGAGCTGGGTAGATTATTTGTTACGTCTCACTCAGGCTGATAAATAGCCCCTGGGAGTGGTGCCCTGCCTCCAGTCTCTCCTTCGCGTTAATGTGTCCTCCACTCACAGTGACACTAGAATAATCTTTCTGAAAGTCCAGCTCTCATTGTTTCATTCACTTTTAAAATCCCTTAGTGACCTCCTATCACTCACCCACCAGAATTAAGTCAAAACTCCTGAGCCGGCCAGGCATGGTGGCTCATGCCTATAATTCTAATACTTTGGGAGGTCAAGGCAGGAGGATTGCTTGAATCCAGAAGGTCAAGACCAACCTGGCCAACATAGTGAGACCCATCTCTACAATTAAAAAAATTAGCCAGGTGTGGTAGTGCCTGCCTGTAGTCCCAGCTACTCAGGACCAAGCCCTCAGCCCCTCCCTTTCTGGAAAGTTGGCTCTCACTTCCTGTGTAACCTGCTGAGGTGGGAGGATTGCTTGAGCCTAGGAAGCTGAGGTTACAGTGAGCCAAGATCACGCCACTACACTTCAGTCTGGGTAACAGAGCAAGACCTTGTCTCAAAAAAAAAAAAAAAAAAAAAAAAACACAAAGAAAAAAAAACAAAAAAAACCCAACAACCGCCAGAGCAACACCCTGTAATGAGGCCCCTCTTTCCAGCTTCATCTGCAGTCTCTTCCTCCTCACCCCTCACACTCCATCACACTGAACTATATGCAGCTACTCTCATGCACCCTACATTTTCACACCTCAGGGCCTTGGCACATGCTTTCCTTTGCCTGGAGTGCTTTCCCCAGCTCAACTGCCAACACCCAGGAACCATTCTGTTACCCTCCCTTCCTGCCACTCTCTTCCCACAGGATTTCACATCAGCACTAGGCTGGCACTTGCCACACTGTGTCATTATCATGATCATCATCTGTTTATATGTCTATGACTCCTTAAAGAACAGAGCCAGATTATATTCTTCTTTGCAGCCCAGCACCCAGCACAGTGCCTGGCTCATTATTGGCATTTAGAAAATGTTTATTGAGGCCAGGCACGGTGGCTTACACCTGTAATCCCAGCACTTTGGGAGGCCAAGGTGGGCGGATCACGAGGTCAGGAGTTCAAGACCAGCCTGGCCAATATGGTGAAACCCCATCTCTACTAAAAATACATAAAGTAGCCAGGCGTAGTGGCAGGCACCTGTATTTCCAGCCACTCGGGAGGCTGAGGCAGAAGAATCACTTGAACCTGGGAGTCAGAGGTTGCAATGAGCCTAGGTCGCACCACCACACTCCAGCCTGGGCAACAGAGCAAGACTCTGTCTCAAAAAAAAAAGGAAAGAAAATGTTTATTTAATGACTAAATTTGAAACTCAAAAGGGCCCACATAGAAAACACCCTGTGGGGAGTCTGTTCAACTGACAAAAACCCTTCTTTCCCTGGGAACTGCCCCAGGCATCAACTGGACCATAGGTAGACACCTGACCCCAGCTGGCAAATAGATTCCCTCCCGGGAAAGTAGAATGGACTTCAAGAGAAGCAGGTCTGTTTCTGGAACTATAACATGTCCACTTTGGAATTGTGGGGCATGCATTCGCCACCATTTAAACTGGGCAACAGAGAAAGTCACTCCTTAAAGAAAGAAAAGTGGCCACATAGAGGGTTTCAGATGGCTTTCTGAATCCCAATTCCAGCCCTCTCCTGAGATCATGAAGGATTCCTGTTCTAGGTTCTGCAAGACACCCCCACATACTAGTAGCCTGTCCCCTACTTTGCGTTTGAGTTTCATGAAGTTTCTGTTCCTTACAGAGTCCTAACCACACAGGCCAACATTTGCCCTCAGCAGAGTATCTCGGGATCTCTTTTCTTCAAAAAACAAATTCTATTTTAATAAATAAAGGAACATCAGACATGGATTAGACCTTAAATCACACATACACATGGAGAACCAGCTATGTAATTTGCAGAGTCCAGTCCAAAATGAAAACGTGAGTTCTGGCCAGTCACAGTGGCTTAGACCTGTAATCCCAGAACTTTGGGAGGCCAAGGTGGGTGAATCACCTCTTGAGGTCAGGAGTTCGAGACCAGCCTGGCCAACATAGTGAAACCCCATCTCTACCAAAAATACAAAATTAGCCCATTGTGGTGGCACGTGCCTGTAATCTCAACTATTTGGAAGGCTGAGGCAGGAACCCAGGAGGAACCCAGTTCAATCGTTTGAACCCAGGAGGCGGAGGTTGCAGTGAGCCAAGATTGCACCATTGCACTCTAGGCTGGGCAACAGTGGCAAAACTCTGTCTCAAAAAAAAAAAAAAAGAAGAAAAAGAAAAAGAAAAAAAGAAATGCGAGATCCTTTGTTCAAAAGCAGGAGAGAAGTGCCATGAACGGCAGTAAAATATAAAGCTTTTTCCTTTCTTCTGTAGACTTTTCTTGACTTTTCCTAGTGTTTATTTGCTATTTAATATCTTCCTAAGCAAAGATAATTTACTTTAAATTATTAGCATGAATTCTACCATTTATTTTTTATTTTGCAATGCCCATATGCTGAGTCACCAAAATTATACAATCTGTGTTTCTTGGCTCCTTCCAGAAGGTGCCTCACACTGGCCAGAAGAGATTCGTCCAAATTCGCCCAGGCACCGAACTATCCAAGGGATCACCCTGCCAGGCACAGGGATAATTTGCAGGCCAAGTGCAGACACTTACAAGCTCCTAAGGGTCCTTTCCTGAGATTTTGGTGCAGCAAGTTGGGCAGTGGTTGAGTCCCCCTTCCCACCAGCCACCAGTGTGGTGCCTGGGCCAGGATCGGGGAAGTTGAGCTGGCATCTCTCCTTCCAGTGGGCTGGCTGCCCTATAGCAGACAGGTAACTCGAAGGATCTTTAAACCTCTACACAAGACAGGCTCAGTATCTGATGGGTAAGAGACTTACCCCTCCCCCTGAGTTTCCTATTGAATGTGCCACAGAGCTGCCGGTCTTGGGCAGGGATGTCTGACCCTGAAACTCCACAGAGCATGAAACCCCTCTCTGACTCTCCCTGCATGCTCACTAGGGCCCTGCCAGGGGCAGAGGGAAGCAATGCTCAAGGGGTGAGTTAGATGAAGGCTGGACTTCAGGGCACCAGGGGGCTGGGAATTGGTTGGCCAACAACCCATCCCAAGAAAGTGGGTAGGCTTTGGGAGTCAGTACCATGTGTGAGCCAAAGCTCCAAACCCCTGGCATATGCCCCAATGTTCCACAAACTGTCACTTACAAAACATAGATCCAAAGATAAAATTAGGAATTTCAGGGCAGCAAATACAGATCAGTATACCCCAGATGCTGGGCTCTTCTGAGCATGGGCTCCTGTGTGACTGTGCTGGTTGGATGCCCATGAAGTTGGTTCTGGACATGTGAGAAAGACCTCTAGACCTCATTAAATAATGTAAGTGTGGGTGCTGAAACTGAAAAAGAAGAAGAATACACTTCATATCCATATTAAACTGGAGCACCCAGATCCATAGGCCAAGAACACTATTCACTTCTCACGCTTTGACCCCCTGAGGCCAAGCTGAAGAGCAGATGTCATCACTCCCTTTATCCCAACTGCAGAATAGACCAGAAGCTGTGGTCTGTATTGATGAAATGAAATTTCAATTCTGGGCATTAATTTGGGCTTTATTTCAAAGTTAACATTTTAGCTATTAAAGGGTATTTCATGAAGAAAAACAGAACAATATCAGAGCATCAAAGAGGAGGAAACACTACTAGTTTCCTTTGCCCAAAAAACTTAGATCTTTATGATTTACTGGTTCACCACGAGCTTCACTTCCCAGAGGTTTATATAAAAAACTTCCTGTTGGTGTTAGCACCAAACAAGGCCATTCGTATTTCAGGCATCTTTTGCCTGGCTAAGAGATCCAGTCGACTTTCCAAGGTATTTGAAACCTTTATTCTCTGATTTCCACTGTAGACCTCCACACCTCCAGCTGCATTCACAGCCAGGTATGCCTCTCGATCAATCTGGACCTCCACATGTTTTTGGGAAATTGTCATGTATTCGGGGATGGCCTTTTGCACTGCAGCCTCCACCAGGAGGAGGTCCTGTGGCCGGCAGCGCACAATCATCACAGGTTCCAGTAGTCGGAGCAGACCCTGGAGCACCATTTTATCCAGCAGCCCCTGGTAGACTTCTGGGTCCTCCACAATCCTGCTGAGTCTCAGCTTTGCCTCTCTGAGCAAATCTGAGATGAGGTCATCTCGGGCTTTCAGGACTTTCAGCCTTGCCTGATTCCTCATGGTGGACATCTGGATTTTCTTCTGCTGCTCTATCTGCTTCTCCTTTTTCTCATAATACTCCATAATCTTCAGTCGTTGGGTTTGCACAAGGCGTCCTTTCTCAATGTTAAACTCTTCCTCAGCCTTGGCATCGATTTCCTCTGCTTTCTCATTGGCTTCCTGCTCAATGAAAGCCATCATGTGCTTAATCTGCTTTTGCACATTGACACTCAGGGCCATGGCTGCTCTTAGAGGGGATGGCGGAGAGGGAGCTTGTGCACTGTTTGGCTCCTTTGACTTAGGACAATTTCAGGAGTGTCTCTGGAGTTCCACTTCCTCAGCTATACCAGTGAATAAGAGGACGAAAGAGAAAGTTAGAGCCTACAGAGGAGGGCTGCAGAGACCGTATATATATCCCTCACTTCGCAGATTAGGAAACTGAGGCTCAGAGAGGAACGGAATTTACCCAAGGGTATAAAGTAGAAGAACAGAGGCTTGAATCTGGGTCTCCAGAATTCCATCCCTGCTATACTCACTATCATTGTCATCAAATAATAATGAAGCAGTTAAGACAGACCTCGTCCAGAGGCTCTCTATGCAGCAGTGGCCTAAGATTCAGATAGCAAGCCAGCAGAGTGGAAACACCAAATTAATACATAAATGGAAAGCATATCCACATTTTGGGGTCAGGAGGGTTGGAGAGAGTCTTAAGAAACTCATGGTCAGCCGAGATTTAATCCAGAAAGGTTGCCTGGAGGTGGGAGGGTTGTAAGAACCTTCAAATGGAATGAAATGGAGTGCTGCTAAGCAGAAAATGACACCTTGGAGAGGTGAGACTTACTTTGTAATCTAACATGTGATCTGTCCTAAAGACTGTTCTGTGTTCGCTTGAGGAAAATGTATATTCTGCTGCTGTTGGGTGGAATGCTCTGCATACATGTGTGTAAGGTCCATTTGGTCTATAGCATTGTTCAAGTCCTGATTTGTTTACTGATTTTCTGTCTGGATGTTCTATTCTATCCATTATCTATTCACCTCTCTGAAGCTTATAGTTTTAAAATTCTATATAAACCTAGAGCATATATATATTAAGTAAAAAAACTACCTTCAATCCCTCCCCACTTCCCTAGAGTTTATATAAGGAAAGGGGAGAGATCGAAGGTGGTCTTTTTACTGGAAGTGGTTTCCAAACCTCGATGTATATCTGAACCACTTGGAGGATCTTTAAGAAATATAGCTTTTAGCGCAGTTGCTCACGCCTGTAATTCCAGCACTTTGTGAGGCTGAGGTGGGCAGATCACCTGAGGTCAGTAGTTGAAGACCAGCTAGGCCAAAATGGTGAAACTCCATTTCTTCTAAAAATATAAAAATCAGTTGGGCATGGTGGCGGGTACCTGTAATCCCAGCTACACAGAGGACTGAGGCAAGAGCATTGCTTGAACCCAGGAAGTGGAGTTTGCAATGAGCTGAGATCGTGCCATTGCAGTCCAGCCTGGGTGACAAGAGTGGCAGACTCTAAAAAAGAAAAGCTAGACACAGTGGTTCATGCCTGTAATCCCAGCACTTTGGGAGGCCAAGGCTGGTGGATTACCTGAGGTCAGGAGTTAGAGACCAGCTTGACCATCATGCAGAAACTCCATCTCTACTAAAAATTTTTTAAAAAATGAAAAAATTAGCTGGGCATGTTGGCACATACCTGTAATCCCAGCTACTCAGGAGACTGAGGCAGGAGAATCTCTTGAACCCAGGAGGCAGAGGTTGTGATGAGCCGAGATCATGCCATTGCACTCCAGCCTGGGTAACAGAGTGAGGCCCCATCTCAAAAAAAAAAAAAAAAAAAAAAAAGAAAGAAAAAAAAATACAGTTTTTAAGGCCCCAACCCTATACCTACTGAATCGGAATCTCTGCTAATAAGGTCTGAGAATCTGCATCTTTCAAAGTCTCCCTGGGACGCTCAACAAGCCCAGGAAAATGACATATGAACAAAATTAGAATATCAAAAAATATATAGAAAATATGAAAAAGAACCAAACAAATTTTTGAGCTGAAGAATACAATAACTGAACTGAAAAAATTCACTAGAGGAGTTCAACAGGAAAAAATCAGTGAGCTTGAAGATGCATCATTTGAAATTACCCAGTCAAAGGAGCAAAAAGAGAGAATGAGAGAGAGTGAAGAAAGTCTAAGAGACTTACGGGGTATCATCAAGCTGACCAATACATGCATTATGGGAGTCACCATCAAGCAGACAAGTATATGCATTATGGGAGTCTCAAAAGAAGACTGGGAAAAATGGATAGAAGGCTTTTAAAAAATAATGGCCAAAAGCTTCTCAAATCTGGGGAGGGAAATATCTATCCAGATTCAAGAAGTCTAATGGACTCCAACTAATATATATCCAAAAAAGTCCATATCAAGACACATTATAATCAAATTGTCAAAGGTCAAAGACAGATTTTTGAAAGAAGAAAGAGAAAAGAGTCTGATCACATATAAGGGAGCTTCCATAATACTACCAGTGGATTTCTCAGTAGATATCTTGTAGTACAGGAAAAAGTATGATGCATTCAAAGGGCTGAAAGAAAAAAAACCTGCTAATCAAGAATACTATATTTGGAAAAACTGTCCTTCGAAAATAAAAGAAACTAAAGATTTTGCTAGATAAACAAAAGCTGAGGAAGTTCATCACCACTAGACCTACCCTATAAGATATACTAAAGGAGCTGGGCTTGGTGGTTCACACCTGTAATCCCAGTACTTTGGGAGGCCAAGGCAGATGGATCACGAGGTCAAGAGATTGAGACCATTCTGGCCAACATGGTGAAACCCCATCTCTACTAAAAATACAAAAATTAGCTGAGTGTGGTGGCATGCGCCTGTGGTCCCAGCTACTTGGGAGGCTGAGGCAGAAGAATCACTTAAACCCAGGAGGTGAAGGTTGCAGTGAGCCGAGATCGCACCACTACACTCCAGCCTGGCAACAGAGCAAGACTCCGTCTCAAAAAAAAAAAAAAAAAGATATACTAAAGGAAATTCTTCTCTTTGAAACAAAAGGACACTAGACAGCATGTGAAAGTATAAAGCCCACTAGTAAAGATAAAGATATTGGCAAATACAGAATACTGTAATGATGATATGTAAATCACTTAATTCTGGTATAGAAGTTAAAAGGCAAAAGTATAAAAAGTAACTATAGGAGAATGATCCAAGATGGCTGATCGCTAACATCTCGGGACTGTAGCTCCCAGTGAAAGCGCAGAGAACGAGAGGACGCCACACTTACAGATGAATTTTTGTGCTCACGGACCAGAAGATCCCCAGTGGAGGAGCCCCACGGGTTGCCAGCGCAACTCTTGTGGCCGGCGCAGCAGCGCTTGGTGCAGAGTAAATGGGACTGGTTCCCCTTTAGACCGACGTTTGGAGCTCCGGGAAGGCAGAGTCGCCTATTAGGGACTCAAGAAGGAAGCCAGACCGGAGATTCCCGGGCAGAAAAGCACCATCAGTCTTAACGCCGCTGTTTTGGCTGGTGCAGTGGGTTGTTCAGATTTTGGCCCTGGGAATTAACAAGTTGGATGTCTGTGCAGAGACCTAATTTGAAAGTTGGCAATTACAAAGACGACAGGTGGATAAACTTACAACAATGGGAAGAAACCAGCGTAAAAAGGCTGAGAATACTCAAAATCAGAATGCCTCTCCCTCTACAGAGGATCACAGTTCCTCACCAACAAGGGAACAAGGCTTGATGGAGAATGAGTGCATTCCATTAACAGAATCAGTCTTCAGAAGGTGGATAATAAGAAACTTCTGTGAGTTAAAAGAACATGTTGTAGCCCAACGTAAAGAAACTAAGAACTTTGAAAAAAGGTTTGACGAAATCCTAATGAGAATAGACAACTTAGAGAGGAATATAAGTGAATTAATGGAACTGAAGAATGCAATACGGGAACTCCAAGAAGTATGCACAGGTTTTAACACTCGAATTGAACAAGCAGAGGAAAGGATATCAGAGATCAAAGATCAACTTAATGAAATAAAACAAGAAGACAAGAATAGAGAAAAAACGATAAAAAGGAATGAGCAAAGTCTCCAAGAAATATGGGACTATGTGAAAAGACCTAATTTACGTTTGATAGGTATACCTGAATGTGACAGAGAGAATGAAACCAAGCTGGAAAATATTCTTCAGGATATTACTCAGGAAAACTTTCCCAACCTAGCAAAGCAGGACAATATTCAACCCCAGGTAATACAGAGAACACCACAAAGATATTCCTCAAGAAGAGCAACCCCAAGGCACATAATCGTTAGATTCACCAGGGTTGAAATGAAGGAGAAAATACTAAGGGCAGCCAGAGAGAAAGGTCAGGTTACCCACAAAGGGAAGCCCATCAGACTCACAGCAGATCTCTCAGCAGAAACCCTACAAGCCAGAAGAGAGTGGGGGCCAATATTCAACATTCTTAAAGAACAGAACTTTCAGCCCAGAATTTCATATCCAGCCAAACTAAGCTTCATAAGTGAAAAAAAAATAAAAATCCTTTGTGAACAAGCAAGTACTCAGAGATTTTATTACCACCAGGCCTGCTTTACAAGAGCTTCTGAAAGAAGCATTACACATAGAAAGGAACAACCAGTATTAGCCTTTCTAAAAATATGCCAAAAAGTAAAGAGCATCAACATAAAGAAGAATTTACATCAACAAATGGATAAAACAGCCAGTTAACATCAAATGGCAGTAATCCTAAATTTAAATTGACTAAATCCCCCAATCAAAAGATACAGCCAAAACCCAGCAGTATGCTACATTCAGACCCATTTCACATGCAAAGATACACAAAGACTCAAAACAAAGGGATGGAGAAAGATTAACCAACTAAATGGAGAGCAAAAATAAATAAATAAATAAATAAATAAATAAATAAAAAGCAGGAGTTGCAATTCTCACATCTGATAAAATAGATTTTAAAGCAACAAAGATATAATGGTAAAAGGATCAATGCAACAATAAGAGCTAATGATCCTAACACCCAGATACATAAGACCTATAAAGAGACTTAGACTCAATGAGACAGAAAATTAATAAGGATATCCAGGACCTGAACTCAGATCCATAACAAGTAAACTTAATAAATATTTATAGAGCTCTCCACTTTAAATACACAAAATATACATTCTTGTCAATACCACATCACACCTACTCAGAGGTTTAAATGAAATATTGATTGGCCATTATTAATGCCCATTTTTAGAATAAAGCAACATTCCAGTTCTTTCTCCCTCTTTTTCTTCCTCTGTCTTCCTCTCCTTCACTACTTTTTTCTTTCCTTCTCTCCTTTCAAAA